ACGGGTGTGTGTGTGTGTGTGGCGCGGGGGGGGGGGGGGGGGGGGGGGGGGGGGGGGGGGGGACGGGAGAGAGAGAAAAGGGAAACAACAAGACACTCACCGTTCACGCCAAGTTCGTTCGGAACAATAAATTGCCAAAGCTGGTTGGTTCTCGGCCTGACGCGACTGGTACTGGTCATTGTTAATCCTCTGCACGAGTTGGATAAAGGGTCAGATTTTGAACAGTGGTCACGTGGTATCAGGACTTCCGGACGAACTGGGAACCAATCGATTTCTCGTATAACCACAACAATACCAGAGTGAGTTAGACCCCGGAGAAAGTAGTCGATACGAAGAGAGGGAGAAGGTGATGAAGGGGAGTGTTTCGAGTGTTTCTACCCTCGCCAATTTTGACAATACGAAAATCCGGTTTGTGCGCGCATACACACACACTCAGAGAAGTGTGTGTGTGCCTTTGTATGGGTACAAGAGTGTGTGTGCATCAAACCATTACTCTAAGCCCCACTTAGCACAGCCAAAACTCATCTCAGTTACTGTATACCAACCAGCCACTACGTGAAATTAATCCCCACTCCCTTCGGAACGTATCCGGATGTGATTCACATTTTTATTGTGATGGGATTTGTTGTGGTTGTTGTTGTGTTGTTGTTTTGGACGTGAAGATCAGCGTTTCAACATTCTCACTAATGGCGTGATTGGATTGCAGAACTTCGAATATATGTGTATATAAATTCGCGCACAGAGTTGTCCGGGAAAAGAATTTTCTTTAACTTCTGATCCAAAGTAAGTGCCAGTATAACAAATGATAGATTTTTGTTACAATTTTGGAGGATAAATATTTTATGCATTTAATTTTCACCTAATCATTAATGCGTATCGAAAAATGGTGTTTATCTAAGGGATCGTCATTCATTCTCCTGCATTCAGTAGGATTCACCTGAAAAGTTCTATTATCTTTAGATAAACTCTGATAATCTCTGTTGCAATGTAAAGTGTTACTGTTTACCTATCTATCTATCTATCTATCTATCTATCTATCTATCTATCTATCCGTGTCTATCTATCTATCTATCTATCTATCTATCTATCCGTGTCTATCTATCTATCTATCTATCCGACTGCCCTTCTATGGGTTGCCACCTAACTATGTACACAGTCTGCGGTTATTTATTTGACTATATATTTGTAGTTATTTAATTTATCATTTCTATTAGAAAGGACAACACTCATCAAACTACCTTTTTTGTCTCGTGAGGTTTCATCTCACATGTTTGTCACACTTGTGCCATCAAATTACTGTATCTGTTCACCAGTTTTCACACGCGGATGTGGCCGGATGTGATAGAGCCCGAGTGTTGGGTGATCTCTTGGTGCGGCTGAAACAACGACAAATTATCACCGGAACAGGATGCTTGAAAATATCCAATAGACTTGTAACCATGATCGGCTACAACAGGCGCAGATTACCCGTACAAATCTGTACNGCATTCACGTGGTATCGAGCAATTTGTAGATTTACAATTTTTTGGAGCGTATGAGAACGTGAATACTCGTGGTCACTTTATTGGCGTGGCTAGTCACGTGTGTGTGTGTGTGTGTGTGTGTGTGTGTGTGTACATTAGCTTTATGTCGAGTAAGACGAAAATTTGTATTATTTGTTAACTTAGCCTGGATTTGTGACTATTTTAGTTGAATCGATTTCAGTCAACATTCCTTTATTCCGATACAATTCAAAATCGCACTCAGGTGTGAACGTAACATTCAGGAAGAGAGTAAACGCAACTGATCGATCGAACCCATAGGGGCCCATAGAAAAGCAAATTCCCGGAACAGCGCGAGTGTGAGGATAATGTTGGTGTTGGTGGACGGACTTTAACTCACGACCTTAGAATCGATTTCACAACGATCTCACTCTCCCCTACCACCAACACCACAACCAGACGAAAGCTTAATGATGAATGTCTCTACATCTACTTAACTCTTCTATTGAACAGTCTCAATCCAGTTAATCGGAAACGCAAACCACGATTTTCACATGTCACTATGACAACATCTCACTGCAATCCCCGGAGGTCTCATTTGTTACTTTTCTCTTATGTTTGTTTTTGCAGAACAATGCTCAAATTCTCTTATCTGTTCGTGTTTCTCACCGTACTGGTCGTTCTCTATGTTTGCGGTGCCCAGTGTAAGTTCACTGTGAGAACTGATCTATTTTCATGACGTGTGATGTGGAATAGATTGTACAAATCTGACTCATCACTCTCCTCTTCCTCCACCCCACCCCCCCCCCCCCCCCCCCCCCCCCCC